TAGCAAACATCTAGAACATCTAACTGACCAACCCATTTACGTTTTTTAAACAAGACTTTAAGACAAGCCAGCATAAATTGGTCTTTCAAACTTTTCAATCTAGTTATTACAGTTTTTCTTACAGGTTTTTGCAACTGCTTACACACATTTTCAAAACGTTGCCTCTTTCTTTCAAAACTTTACACACAAATCCAAGAACACACACACAATGCAAAATGCCTCACATCTCTTGCAAAATGAAGCACTGCATTCAAAATATCTTTTCACAACTGTATTAAACATCAATAAATGTATTAATTATATTGCTCTATATCGTACACTATATCGAGAATTAGTGTATGGTTTTGGAGATTTGGTGTGTGCGTCTGCTGTTTCGAGTGTCAGCTTTCAGAAACTGTGACAAGTAAAGATTTTGTGTGTAAGCAGTTGAAAAAGACTGTAAATGCTTACACAATTCAAATACACATGACTTTCCTGCCCAGTGAACACTGAGATCAATAACACCGTAACAAAAACTCTTACTAGGATTCAGGAATTATTTTTGCAGCTCAATGTCTATTACAGTATACAGTACATCAATTAAATTACAGGAACAGATGTATAATTCAACAATGAACTTTTGGGAAAAAATCATTTTAATTTGACTACTGTAAAGTAATCTTGCAGTAGATGAAAAGCACTAGAAAAGTTCAAATACCAAAGAATTGTATGAACTTGGCTTGCACCACAATACAGTATAGTAAAAAATAAAATAAAAAAAGATAATTTAGCATCCTCTGCACATTTAGCCAAATTTCATTACAGTATACAGTATGGATGCACCGATACCACTTTTTCCAGTACTCGCCCGATACCGATACTTTTATTTTTGGTACTTGCCGATACCGAGTACCGATACCCATATTTTTATTGCATTTGTAAATTTTTTAACTAATTACAGTGAAAGCAATAGCCTACATCTAATGCAAATATTTAAATGGTTTTAAAGGCGACATACATGGGCACAACATAGGCTATGTATCAGGCATTTTAAGGCGACGTACATTGAGACGACGTATGTATCAGGCATCTTGTGAGGTGACGTACATAGATACGACGTATGTATCAGGCGTCTTGTGAGGTGAATACAGTACTATAGCAGTTTCTTGGTCTCCTGACACAAGACTAGCTATATCTCTAGGCAGTCATACAATTTGACAGTCACACGCTTGAAGGTGTACAACAGCTGTCCAAACTCGGTCCTGGAGGGCCGGTGTCCTGCAGAGTTTAGCTCCAACTTGCCTCAACACACCTGACTGGAAGTTTCTATGCCTAGTAAGAGCTTGATTAGCTGGTTCAGGTGTGTTTAATTAACAGGGGCGCCCACACCTGCTCCTGGAGGGTCACTGTCCTGCAGATTTAGCTACAACCCTAATTAAACACACCTGAACCAAAGTAATCAAGGTCTTCAGACTCACTAGAAACTTTGAGGTGAGTGTGTTAGAGCAGGTTGGAGCTAAACTCTGCAGGATACCGGCCCTCCAGGACCGAGTTTGGACAGCCCTGGTGTACAACATGTGCTACAGTTTACTGTACATGTAGAATAGTGAAATTTCCATTATCTAATGTACTGGTACTGTACTGTAATTAAACTGTATGTGTAAGTATAAAACCCCAGATGATTGGCTCAGCGCTCTCCTCTCTCCGTTAATAGGATGCAGAGATTCTGATTGGTGTGTCATCAGTTTTGCTATCTAATGTTTAACTTACTCATTGTTAAGTGTTTTGGGAAACGTGTCTTTGTTTTGAAAACTGAATTAATGGTTTGGGGGGAAAAGTGCCAACTAAAATCAGTTATATTAACAATCGAGAAAACTGCAATACGATTAGATTCTTACCTAACTCTGCTATTAGTTTCCGTGATCGGCATCTTCTTACTGATTTTGTCACGGCTTATATTCATGATGAAAGTGGAGCGAGCGGTCGGAGAATCGGAGGAGCGAGCGGTCGGAGAACCGGATCACCAAACAATTAGACATATCCGGACGGGATTAGATTTCTCAGAGGACTTCTGAGTTACCTGAAAAGCAGTAATTATCTGATTCACGAACAAATGTAAAAACAATTAGTGAACTGGGCCGCGCTGCACGCTGCGTGCGCGTGCAACCATCCTGCAGTTTATTAAAAGACGTGTTTTTTTTTTGCCATTATTTTGCGTTACTCTGTCATGGCCGCGGCTGAAAGTAGCACATGAAACACTGCTTACATTTATATTTGCAGCTCCAGATATTTAGCATGCCAAATATTTCGCGGGCGTCGGCGACGCGTCGGTGATTCCCTCAGATCGCGTCTTTGATCATTCACACTGCGTGATTGTCACTCGTGTGAACGAGCACCGATTTGCCTCCGATGTCGGGCATTTGTCGGCGATTTCGCAAAACCTGTCGGCGAGTGAAAAATCGGGCTAAAATCGTGCAGTGTGAACTCGGCATTAGGGTGGCAAGTTGCCACCCCGTGCCACCTGGTAAATCTGCCCCTGAGTAGATGGGGAACCAAATGCTCCCCCATGATATTTTGTAAACTGTGTTTATGACAAAGAACTACACAGATGCAGATATTATAACAATCTATCGATAAACACACACCTTGTCCTCTGTTTCTCGCTCTGCGCCGCTGCGGTCTGTGGATTGAAAAAGAACGCGCTGAAAGACGGGGAGGAGTCGATCGAAGTCTGCTGCCGTTTTCAGATGAAATTTAAAGGGAACTGAGGCGATCACGAATTCGTGTAACGTACAGTTTATGGAGCTAATCGCTAATCGCTATAGCCCCCCTAAAAATGGCCTAGCGACAAACGATGCCACATATTTTATGTACTGTAGCCACAAAAAGTATTTGGACACTATAAATGTCAAGCTTAAAAATATCTGAATTTCACTGTAATAGACACAAAATATTAAACCAAGTAGCACCTGCAAATAAATAATTCTAGAGCTTTTCTGAGAATTAACTTCAACTTCTTAGCCACTTTTTAACCACTTACATTATATATATATATATATAATTTTTTTTTCAACTTTCAAAGTCAGTTCAAGTTCACACAAGCGACCAAGCAGAATATTCATGGTGTAGTTCATGATATTAACATGTCCATATTTCTGACAATCAGAAAGTGTCCAAGTGTCCATTTTGATTAATGTATTAATTCATATTCTGAAACCTACACATTTCATTATGTGAAATGTTTTGAATACGAAATGCTATATTTCCTTAAAATAAATGCCCTATATTTCTATATTTTGTTATACAATGCAAAGACATTTATACATGTTTGAATGCAGCTTAAGCATCCACTGTATATACAGTGACCCCAAAAAGTATTTGGACATTTAATGTATATTATACATACACTGTTTGAACCTTATCATGTTTTTTTTTTTTTTTACAGTAACACATATTCTTAGAATATTTCATCTATGTAATCCATTAAACTCTGTTTGACCTAAAGATGTCAAACCAAATGAAAAATATTCATTCAAAATATTACTAATTATTCCCATTATTCATTCCTTTAACTCTTTCCCCGCCAGCATTTTTGAAAAAAAGTTGCCAGCCACCGCCAGCGATTTTGATGATTTTCACAAAAATTTGATGGCCTCCAGTATATTTTGCTGTACGAATATTTGAATATGCAATACACCAAAATAAAGATAAGAGCCTCTACTTTTAAACAAACAAACAAAAAAAATCCGTTTTATTCTAGTTTAAAGCTTTTTTTTTATCAACACTTGAATATAGGTAGGTTTCATAAAAAATTAATAATTTTGAGCAAAAAGGTGAGAAAATCACATTTTTATCAAAAACTACATCTGAATAATATTCAGTAGATTATCAAAGCATAAATCCAGTAAATCGCTTCCATCAACACCTCCAAAGCTTGCACAGACATATACCACGTCCTGGATCAACATTTCACTCTGTAACATTATGCCGTTTTCATTTATATGCTGTCTATTGCTGATGATCGCATTATTTTTCATATGCATCTGTTTACATAAGAG